CTATTTTGCATTCCTTCCCTTAACTGTCAGTCTGCATGTTCCTTTCACACTAATTATGTGACCTTCAGAGGCATTAGAGCTGCAATTCCCAGCCCTAGGAGAGGACAACACATTCTACTGTTAAATCGAAGACATGAAACCCCAGAGATTAAACCAAGATGGAAGTTCCCGACACACAAACACACTGTCGCTGTGAAGAAGGAAGATTTATTTAAAGCCATGGACCAAAGCAAGAATATTAACAACAAGCTAGAAACACCAGTAACATCTCTGGGGTGTTTTTATTAGTATCACCCCTTTGTAACGTTTTAAATGCTGCTCTTAAGGAAAATGCTGATAATCCTGCTGAAGTACTCTCTCTGAACTTTTGGCTGAGTGTCTGCCAGGCCACTCCCCTGCAAGGCAAAAATGTAGCAAACTACTTCCCTAACAATGTAGGTTTTAAGTAGTGGGCCTAAAGATCAACTAGATTTCTAAGTGGAGACTAGTGCCTCCTCTGGGTAAATGCCCTTCAAACATTCTTTTGAGAATGGACCATGGTTTCTAAATAAATGAATTTTTAAACATTCATGTTCTCTTCCTGAAGGAGGAAGAAACCCTGATCTGCAGATCTTTGCCAAGCATAGAAACTGACTCAAAGCAGAATCAAATGGAGTTTGAAAACTGAAGCCAGACCCTACTCCCAATGACAGTTTTCCCACTGGTTTCATTGGGAGTAGGATCAGGGCTTCTAGTTTTAATAGTACCAGTTTTATAAACAACATAGGTGAAATCCTGGCCCAGATAAGTCAATGGCAAAGTTCTCTTTCAACAGGATGAGGATTTCACCCTATGTCTTCTATTTGACCATAAAGAAGACCCATCCATTTCCTTCTCCATCACATGGGTATTTTCAGATGCTACAAGGACTTCTTATCTCTGTGCTTTGTTTCTGAATTAACTCTGAGGAAATGATCCCTAAAACCTCCTAAACAATTAAGATTGTGGCAAGTGATTATGCTAAATCCAGTGAACAGCAGACTCCCTTAGTTTTGGGGATGGAGCAGTAATTGACAGCCAAAAAGAGAGATCGTCTCATGGAATTATATATCATCAGTGTCATCAGTCCTTTGCCATGGAATCAAATCTAAGGACAATACAACTCCTTACATCACTTGATCAGAGATGGGCCATTGTAAAATGTGGCGTCAGCTAGTTTTTTCCACAATGTTTTTTGAAGAAAAAGTGAAGTCACAGCCTTGGTATTACTTTTTAAAATGATGAATGGGAAATGTAACATTTCCCTCTCCTCTTCTTTGTAATATCCCTCCAACCCCCATAAAAATACCAAATAATTCTATTCACACATCAATCATACAAAATCATCTAGTTCAAAGTGATCTTTTAACTGTAGAGGCTCTGGGCTGGAGATCCTGCTGTCGTTACACAGGCAAAATTCCCATTGACTTCACTGGGCTTCAGTTGATTTCAGAGGGAGGTTTAACTGCCTAGGAAGTGCATGATCACAGCTTGCAGCAGTGTTTCTTGAATTCCTTGATTACTTTTGTACAATATTTTTTTAAAAACTGTTTAGGATTTCTCTAATAAGTAATGCATTGCAGTGTAAATGTCTGCCCTCTGCTTTTAACAGCATTAACTACAGCCCCTGAGTTTTATTAATCCCCATTTGGTTTTCTTTGCATACAAAAAAAAGAGGGGTTTGACAATAATCTTAAAACAAAAATATAAATTTATTTCTTAAGTGGTTTTTACTTACCCTTTAAAATACACACTGAAATGCTGACACACAGATACTGCTTTTACAGTATTTGTGTTATATGAAAGTAAGATTCAGATTTTCTCTTAAACTGAAAAGCTTCCTGCACATGAAAGCGACCATAATGAAATTGTGAAGCTCATCTTATATTCTTTCCACAATATAGGAGGGATATTCCCTGTAAAATTAAAGTCAAGAATAAAACAAGACCATTAGGATATTAAATATGCCAAGATACATTCGCTGTCTCTAAATCAACATTGTTTACTTAGAGAACAGAAACCCTTTTTGCACAATGTCAAAGTGCAATTAGTTCTTTATACAATAACAATGTAGGGTGCATTAATTTGGATTGAATTACTAAGAAAATAATAGAAATGTTTATAACTTCAATTTTAATGCCAATTGAGTTAATTGGAGCCACTGCTGTTTCAATAAACATTCAGTTCAATAAGCCACTAAGCACTATATAGTGTCAAACAATCTATTTCCCAATGTACTTCTGAAAGAAAAAATCAAATCTACATACCTGGAACACCTAGGAGGTGAGGTAAAATCTTGATATGTACCAAAGCTTTGTATTAGATGTGGGGCCCAATTCTGCATTCGCTGTGCAACCCAGCCTCCTCTTTAAGTCAATGAGGGTGCTGGCTGCACAAAATAGTGAGTGCTGGGTGCTAAGTAGGTTAAGCACTTTCATTATGAAAATCTATTTACAGACATCTCTGGAAAAAATGACATGCTTGTTCCCAGCCCAAAGGGGTGTGTGTGTGTGTGTAGAGATCAATACAAATTCTATTTTGCTCTTTTTAAAAATTGACTTTGACACGGTTTGAATGGGAGCTCTGGATGTAAAGTGCTTGTAGGGTTGGGCCCTGGGAATGTGAAAAAAGGTGTTTTCACATTTTAACAGTTCCTGATTTTTGTTTGTTTGTTTGGGCAATTCAAACAACAGGTTTATTTTTAACATGTCAGATTTGCCAGTGACTTTGGTCTGATCCTGCACTCTTTATTCAAGCAAATGTCCAGCTGAATTGTGCCTAAGTAATAAGCCTTTGGCTGGTCCAATAAAATTTGGTTTGGAAATAGCCAAGTTACAAGTGTGTGAATATAGGGAATAGAGAATTAGCACGATTGTCCCACATTTCCTGTTAAAATTCCATTGAAGTCAACTTAAAGAGAATTAAGGATCTGGCCCTAAATGTTTAAAAACACACCACGTTGGAGAGCTTTAGATAGACACATAACAAGCATGACATGTACTGCAACAGTGTAGTCCACTGTGAAAACAGTCTAATAAATGCATTAAGTTGCAAATTCAAACAGCAGCTAAACAAACAAATGTAAGGCCCAATTCTGGCCTCAGAGGCACACCCAATGAAAGCCAATGCACATACACCTCAGGACAGAATTTGGCCCTAAATTGGTTCATTTTAATCTTACAGTGTACGACTGAACATACAAAAATAACTGAGGGGTCCAACATGATTCCTCCAATCTTCCTCCTCTCATTGAGTTCGCTGGAAGGGGGATTAGGCCCACACTTCACTTATTTCCATGGGGTTTTTCTTCTTCACTTTTCCCTTCCACATTTTCACTAAATGGTGTTGCCTGAATAATGTGTACTGAAAATGGCAATCACACCAACATAGCTCCTGCTCCCCTTGACTTCAGTGGGGGCAGAATTGGCCTTTCTGGGTTCAACACTGAGGTAAAGGGACTATCACAAGTGTGTCAATACCCTTTCATAGCACAGGTGATTCCTTCATGCCAAATACTAGATTAAAACTCTTTTTGGAAATCTCTTAGAATTTAAAATCTATGTTGATACAAATATCCCTATCCGCCTATCTCGGAGGGTAGGTTGTGCTTGACAATTATGGTTACTGGTGGAAAGAAACATTTTAATTAGTTTTAAAACTTTTAAAAGCGATTTAAAGGAGCCTCTCTGTAAACAGTGATAGTCACAGTTCTGGGATCCAATATCACATTACCTGCCAAGACAAGACAAGTTGCACCATCTAGATTACTAGAAGGCCTGGAATCCTAGCCCTCCAATAAGATTTAGCAAGTGGGTTTTTTCCCCTGGCAGTTTAATTCGTCAAATCTGATGCTGATTCAGAACCGAATAATGCCAATCCTGGACTTTGCATCATACGATTCTAAATCCCACTGGTTCTTTTTTGGCGGGGAGGGGGAAAGGAGAAATGAATGTTTATGTCAGGTTTTTTTGGCAAAAATGGCTGCTATCTCAAAGCTGCTCAGAGGTGTAGAGCATTAGAAGTGGTCTTGGCTAAGGTAGATCAGAGGGTAGAATGCAGGTGAGATGATCATAGGTGTTAAATAAATTCACTGTGTTCTATGATTCTGCAATGCTTGCAAAAATAAAGAAAATTGAGTGTTTAAAGCTTGTCAACATAAAGGTGTAAAGATGTTTATCTAGCCTTGGGTGTTCACTATATGATGGATTTAAGTGTTTAACTTCTTTCAGTATTGATGGGTAGTTAGGAGTGCAAATCTCCACCTATTAGCGGAGATCAGTAGACCCCATAGTTGCTCAATAGCTATCTCGTAGTGTAAAGATACTATTCAATGGTGGGAAATGCAGTACACTTTTTACATTATATATATTAGTGACGACCATGCACACATCATTTCTGGCTTAGCATAATCTAAGAACTGTATGATGATTTCCAGTATATTATACTGTCTACTATCCAGGGCTGCCCAGAGGGGGGGGCAAGTGGGGCAATTTGCCACAGGGGCCCCCACGAGAATATAGTATTCTGTAGTATTGCAACTTTTTATGGAAGGGGCCCCCAAAATTGCTTTGCCCCAGGCCCCCTGAATCCTCTGGGCAGCCCTGCTCCCATCATACATGCTCTATAGCTACCAGTCTTTCTGCAGAATCTTCAGAGACAGAGGACAGCTTCCTGTAAGAAATTCCAAGCAACATTGTAAACAATGAATGTTTCCTACAGTCTGTGCATATGCTTATGTATCAATCAGTACACATCACAGCAGAAAATGTATGCATGTGCTCTGTGTATGTCTGTGATCATGTATAGATATAAACAAAAAGACACAGCTAGAGAGATAAACACATATCTCATGGTCCTTTTCACTGCCGTTTGGAATTTATGATAGCGTTTCTATTTAGGTCTTCATTAACATTTTATGTAATACTGAAGAGAATAATGCTCTTTATACACAGAAATGCATATATTAAAATACGCATACATACCAAGGTTGAAAAGCAGTATCACCACCAGTAATAAAACTAAAATGGTTGTCACACAACAGCCAGGGTCGTTCATTAGACAGACACACCGTCATGGACTCTGGGTAAGTTTCCCAATTGCACCTGTAATTTTCATATGACATGTATAACATTACCTTAAGCATGAAGTGCAACAAAATTAAAAAGACTCCCTTTACTATTCTTTATTCAACACTTCCAGCAAGTGCAAAAGGTTGGCTGGTTTAAAAATTGAATATTTACATTTCAAGCACTCTTACTTGAGGAACCTTTACAACAATAGCATGCAAAGACTGCTAAAGACATTTCTCCCCCCCCCCCCATCTGCTTTCTAAATATACATGTGGCAACTTACTAAATAGCACCCTTTGTGCTATAGAGATTGCTATCAAAAGCGAACCTGCAAAATAAAAAATCTGAAGACACAAAAATGCATCAAAAATTAAAATAATAATAAAATATTTAAAATCAGTAAATGCATTATAATTCAGAATGAACAAAACACTATAATCTTATTTTAAAATGTCATTTCCAGGGAGGCAATTGTTTACCCCTTAGAGGTGGGCCATAGATAGCCAATTAATGCAACTTAATTCTGTAGTTGTTTCTGTTTAAAGAGTATTTGGAATGATTTTTTTCTGTTGTTTATGATCAAACAAACGAGCCCTGCTAATCTTATATTTTATCTCCCTAACATATGGAAAAGCTATTTATCCTAGCCAATCACAATAAAGTGAAGAAAACCCCATTTTATGGAAAGGTATATATCACAAGTTTGTTCATCATTAAAGATATGATTACCAGTGAAAACCCTCCAAAAGTGGCACATTTATGATTCCAGGAACAGATGGGGACATACATTTTCCTTGCAAATACTTTTGAAATTGCTCTACTGGTAGCAGTATAAAAATGATATACAGATGCCAGTGCCAACGAAGCCAGGACAAGAGGTCCAGATTTACACAGTAAAAGCTTCACATACGCTCTGTCAGCTTTGATTGATCTGTACTATACCTCAGAAACTTGTTGACTGGTAAAGGAAACAGTGCAAATAATTCACTGCAACAAGCCAGATAATTCACAGAGCCAATCGGTCTGCTTCACTTTTCCTCACCAAGATGCATCATTTCCCAGCATGAGCAGTATTCAGTGTCAGGGAGGGGGAGGGAAAAGGAAAGAAAGAAAAAAAGAAAGAAAGATAGGAGTAGCTCACACAAAAGAAAAGGCAAGACAAGAGAAGTTGTTTTGGGTAATGGGCCCAGCCATCTACCTTTTCCACTTTGAGCCCTAGCAGAGCCATTCAGCCCCAATTGTCATTATCATATTGATTAAGTTCATCAGAGTGCAATTTTAGGTTTAACGCCAACGGATTGGGAAAGGGAGCAAAGAATTATCTAAGAAAAGCACAACATTCTCACCGCAGGGACGTTTCCCTGTTCCAGTTCATTGATGGAGTTGATTAAGTTTAAATGAAGCAGACACTGGATAAAAGTAAGGGTATTGACCACTGGGCAGGGCGGGCTGTGCTTGAAAAGGCCTGATACATGCAGAAAAGCAAGATTTGCTAAATGCTCTAATCTTCAATCAAATCTAACATCAATACAGACAAAGTTTGGTAATGAGAGATTCAATGAAGCATGCTGGAGAAAGAATTAATCCTCTTGGTCTAAACTGGGTTCAACTTTGAAGCCTGCTCCGAAGGAAAGACAGTTATCTAAATGCTAAATAAGAAACTTATTGTACTTTTCATGGCATGCTAATCTTTTGTCTATTTCATCTCTATTATTTGTATGCTCATAGATTGCAGTTGTCATGGTGATTATATCAAACCACTCGGAGCGGATGGCTGCGAGGACTCAGGGCCTCCATATAACCCTCAACCACACACACAAAAACAAAAAAACAAGGCATGGCAATTACGCCCCTTCTGTCCGGCTGGCCAGACCCCCAATATTGCCCTGCGGGTGCAGGTCAGGAAATTCTTTACGCTACCAGCCGGGGAACTAGCAGTCACCCGGGCCCTGGCCACTAGCTCTTTTCAGTGCAGCGATTTAATTTGCTGTGGCAGTCAATACCGTTTTATGCACCCCTGCTGCCCCACCCCTTGGGAAGGGAGACCATCCAAACCAGCGAGATCGCTCCCCTCCACGCTCAGCCCAGCCTACGCTAGGTGCTTTTTGTAGGCTTGTCTTGATAAGCTTTTGATGTCACAAATCAAACACTCGCCAGGAGGTAGATAATGGGGAGTGTGATCTCCTCGATTTGTACATAGCTAGCGCTTTGCATCGGCTCTGCCTTGAACTTTTGGGAGGGAGAGTAAAACAAAGGAGTGGAATTTGACAATTGCGATTGAAAGGGGGGAAAGCGCCCGGGCCAGCGGGGGCTGCAGGCCTGTCCTTCGCATGGATCCGCTCCCTGCGCACCACCTGGAGGGACGCAGGCTCCGGGCTCCCTAGGCCGGGCAGCCATTGACAAGGGGAATTAGGATTCATATATGCAAATGCCTAGGGGCCGGCAGACACTTTAATTGAGAAAGATTGGAAGGCAGGGGGAGGAGGAAGCGGTGCGAGCAGGAAAGGGAGTTCGGTGAACGGCACTTGGTTCCCATTTGCAGACAGGCTGCTCGGGACAGCCGTAGGAAGCGCCGCGTAGTTTGTTGGCAAACAGCGAGCTCGCCTCCTCCCTCCGATCGCCGGGCGGGGGCTCGGGGAAGGGCCGCGGCCGTGACAGACAAGCAAGCTACGCCTTGCTGCTGCTATTGCAACTGCTGCGTCTTGTAGGCCTGATACACAGGAGGGGACCTGACCCGCAGGCCCAGAGCTGCCACTGGCCACATAGGTGAGACACTGGAGAGATAAAATAGACCAGAGAGGACAGATCAACTACATAAGATTGGCTAGGCAGGCAGACCAGACAGGAGCCAGGCAACCCAAATCGGTCAGACTGCACAGACAGACCGCCCAGATGGATACACAGACAGGCAGATGCCTGGAGAGAAAGACCAGCCCTTGTCCAGGGGCACCTGCTCCCTGTCTGCCCAGAAAACGCCAAGTCCAGTTTCTCCCTAGGAATTTGAGGGAGTAATCAGGATTTCACTGCAAATGGGGAGAGGGGGTAGAGCGACCAGCAGAAGGGCATGAGGAGTCTAGGCAAAGAGGGGGAACTTCCCTTTGGCTTGTTTCACTATTATATAGTCATTTGGGCGCACAAAGGTAGTACCCCAGCTTTTATGTGTTTTACAAAAGTTACCAAATTAAGGTCGGATTAAGGATCCCTCCAGGATTGGAGGGAGCTTTAGAGGCTGGGAGCGGCAGATATAGCCCGGCTGTGTTTATGAAAAGCTTAAAAAGTAATAAAAGGGGGGAGAGATTCCGAGAGAAAGTAACATGTATAACTCTTATTAAAGGAGCAGCGAGCAGGGCTGTGAACTTGAATAACTGTTTGAACTTTAATTTGTTCATTAACAGGATTTGCCCCTGACTGTGAATGTTATTACTTCTCTAAAAGCGAGGTGCAAATGCAAAGCCATAATGAAAGAGCCTCGCAAAAAGTTAAATGCCTAGTAATTACACTTGTCTCATTGAAAACTTAAAGTAATACAAAAGTGATGAAAAATGGGAGCTGGGCTGATATTCTCCCAATGTCCCAACCTTTAAACAATAGAAACGGAAAGCTTAAGGCCTCCATTTGAACTTCATCTCAATTCGAGAGCAACACACTAAGCTTGTGCGAATATAACAGAGACCCACTGATCCAGCTGAACTCTAGGTACCTAACTCTAGGTATATTTAAAACGGTTATGTTTAAACAAGTAAAAAAAAACCCCTTAGAAAGTCTTGGATTTTTTCTTTTGTTTTATTTTCCTTTTCCTCAGTGGGGGAAGTCTGTTTTATTCCTCCGTTTTAAGTCTTGAGTGAAACATGGTGTCAGAAGTCTGATCTAATCTGCATGTTTGTCTCCTAAACAGGGCACATTAGCTCCTCTCTCCCCCATCACACCGACAGTAGATAAAACTCTGGAGATCTGGAATAAAACAAACTACTGCTCCTCTCAGAAGGTATGTGACTTTGTACTGATGCTTTTGCCTGTTAGCTCCGCATTGACTGTCTTTTCATCTGTCAGTTATTTCTTTCCTGTTTTTGTCAACTGTTTTTTATATATTCACTTGTCATCTGCATCCTTCCTCAACAGGAACATGCAGCCAGGTCGCAATTAAATATACAGATACACGAGCTGTTAGCAAGATTTTACCCTCGCATCCGAATCAGAAAGCAGCAAAGTTTGGGGGGGGAAGGGGGGATGATTGCCATGTCACTTATTCTTTATACTTAAAATGTCTTAAAACTCGCCGGCAGAGCGATGTGTTTGTTATTCAGACACTTTCTTTTGTTAGTGTCCCTTTCGCTACCGAAAAATCTTTGAAGTATTGACTTAAACTGCTGCTTTTTGGTTTTTAAACTCATAAATGTATTAAAGAGAGAGAGTCCCCAAAGAGATTGTCTACCAGCTGCTCTTACCCATTCGCTTCTTCACAATTTTCTCCTCATCACAATCACTATTTCGAGAAGAAATAGTGGAGTCAGATGGGTTTGATGCTCAGTTCTCTTGATACTCTCCCCCTGGATATTATTATCGCTTGTCTTTACACGCGTTGGAGGGGATCAGCCGACGTGCTTCTGTTGTGCCTGGGAAACATTCATACCAAAGTGTCAGAGAGGAACCCGCGTTAGCCTGATCTTACCCCTCTCCTGCCATCACCCCCTGCGGGACCAGGGTGGGGGGAGCCTCTGCAAAGGGAAACCCGACTCAATCGCTAACTGGCCCGTAACGGCTCCTTGCCACGGCCCTTGGAAAACGTCAGCCCCCCCTGCCGAGCGGGCGAGTTAACACAGCTGTGGGGCCCGGGGCCCATAGCTCCGGGGTGGGAGGAGCGCAGCCCCGCGAGGAACGGAGAAATACAGACACCCACCCAGCGGGGAAGCTGCAATGGCTGGGCCCGGCAGCTCGCAGCCCAGGCCTGGGAGGGCTGCCCGGGAGTAAAGACGGAGTCTCGGCGGTCTGGCAGCGTCCTGCAGCAGCTCAGCTCCTCCCCGAAGCTGGCGAGCCGCCCCGTCGGACGGAGCTCGAGCCTGCAGCCCCCCCGCCGGCCCTAGGAGAAAGGGAAGGCCCCCGCCCCCGGTCAGCCCCTTTCCCGCCCTGAGAGAGGCCGCTCTCGGCCCGCTGCGGGCGCTGGGAGGGAGCGAGGGAGGAGCAGTCCGAGCTCCTGCACGCCCTCCGCCGCCGCACGCCGGGCTGGCTGGGGGATTTGTTTACACGGGGGAGCGGGGCGGGGAGAGAGGACTGAATAATTGATATGGCGGGGCCCGCGCGTCTCCCGAGCTTCCTTTCAGGGGGAGGGGACTCGTGTTCTCACAATAAACACTGCACTTCCAAAAAGAAATTGTAATGGCGTGGCGGCCAATTAAAGCAATTAGCTCCCACCAGCCTCTCTCCCCGCATCTCTGTTCAGCTGGAAACGCTCAGAAAACAACTCCTCCCAGGGGCTCCCCTGCCAGCCCCACACCCCCACGATGGACGGGAGGCGCTTCACGTGCTCCCTCAGGCGTGGGTGGGTGTCTGGCTGTTCGCCTCCCCCTTCCCCGGGCATGGGCGCCAGCGGGCCAGGAGTGGCCCCACACCTAGGTGTAAAAGGGAGCAGAGCGAAGCCACCTCCATCTGCAATGGGGAGACTACCGGCTCCAGCCTTTCACGAGCCGCGCTGAACTTAACAGGAGGGCCCTTAGGCCACGCGATGGCCCATTGCATTGTGGGACCTGTGGTCTCCCATCAACTCCATGTCAAAAACTAGGGTGCTGTGGGGGAGCTCCTGCCATGTGGGCCATTTTTTACACTTCGACCACCCCTTCCCTAGGTTGTAACCAGGTACCAGAGGACTCTGCTATACAGCAGGTTTTTTCTCTTCGCCCTCTTGGTATTTTTTTTTCTTTTTTAGTTGATTAAAATGACTCTGGATATTTTCAAGATGAGCTGTAAACACACCCAGAGTTTACCAAATTAAAGATGCTTTTGTGAGCACATGTAAACTATTATTTCAAAAGAAATGCCATATGGGAAATGTGTGACAACAGGAGAAACAGAGTCCTGTGCAGAGGACCCCTAGGAAGCCAATGCACCTCTATCAACAAGGCTTAGGTGGGATTGAGTGATGCACTGGCCTGGTGGTGGTGGTGTTCTGCACAGGTTAAATTATACCTCCTAAAGATGTCCTACCAGCCAGCTCAAACCCTGCTCAGGCCTTTTTCCTGAGAGGACATATAGTGTCCTGTAGGTTCTGCAGAGTCATTGCTGGGGAAAGAAACAATTCTGGGTCTTCTGACAATCCGGCATCTCCGCTGTTTGCATTTATTTAGAATCATCTATCACTGGGGGGCTACTTATATGTTTGTACTACCCAGTATGTCCTTCATGAGAGTGAAGATGAACCACACTGGTGGCCCAGGGGCAAGCAACTGTTTCAAAATAGCATTAAGGGACACAAGAAAAGCAAAATATGTGTCCTGTAGAGATCTGTCTACAGTAGGGTGATGGTACTGCATTAACTATGCTTGTTGTGTAGAAAGGCCTTATTTTTGTATTTACAAAAAAGCAGCTCTGGGACACCATTACAGTCATTAGAAGAACACTTTTTGGGGGGGTCACTATCCAGAAAAAAATCCTACCATCCACAAGCAAATTCCTTTCCTTCAGCCCCTTTCTAATCCCCAACAATCCCGCTCCAGGGAAAGCCTGGGTATATCGATAGGCTTTGCCAGGTGAGCTGAATGGCAACAAATGCAGACTCTACTGGACCCTAGGGGAAAGGTGGGTACCATAGCTGAAGATGCATCTATTGAAGCCACTGACAATCTCTGATTTAAATCAGGAGCTGTAAACTCCAGTGCTGTAGCTGATCATAACTGTTGCATTATCATATGAAGATAGAGGTAGTTTCTAAAATTTCCAGAACACAAGACACTATGGGTGCTGGAAGTCAAAAAAACACCTTACACTGCACCAGGAAACTAAATGGAAGCCAGTGCAGATCACAGGGAATGGGTATAATTTGCTTTATGTGAAAAGTACCATGAAACATACAGATGGCAACATTCTGCACCAGCTGAAATTTCTGAATGGACTCAGCTACTGTCTCACATATTAGTAACTCAGTTGTTAGGTGACAGGGATCGGTAACTAACAAGGTCCTCATCCAAAAGAGAAAGTCCCAACATTTTTTCCAAGCAGAGATGAAAAATGTGGCTAGTCACACCAGTGCAACTATCTGGATAGCTAGAAGCTGCTGGAGTCCAAGTTACGTACTTGGCTGACAAATGGCAGGCAAGTGCCCACAAATGAGGGGTCAGACATAGACCCCAATCCTGCAGTGGACTGTGTATGGGCTGCTCCTTGTGCCTGCATGGAGCCCCATTAATGTCATTGACTGCCTGCATAAAGCCTATTGTAAGTTCAAGGGGACAAACCATTTTTTCTGTTTTTCCCACAGCCTATAAGCATTACCTAAATCTGATAAGGATTTAACTTTAGCCAGATAACCCCCATCCAAAGGATTGCCAAACACTGCACTGGCTGGATTGTTCAACTCCAGCACACAGGCTTATTCACTGGATACACAGAGCTGGGTGTAACCTACTTATTGGAAGCACATCAGCATCAAAAGCTTCACTAACTGAGGTCAGACTTAGGATGATCAGACATCCTGATATTATCAGAACCATCCCGATATAGGGGCAACTATACCCCTCCCCCCAAAAGGGTCCCTATTTTTCAGACTTGCTATCAGGTCACTTTAGTCAGACTAGAATGATCACAGTGGTCCCTTCTGGCCTTAGAATCTATGGATCAGCTATCTCCCCCAGTAATCTCATATATACATTGAACAGAAGTGACAAAATAGAACCTCATGGAAACTCACGAGAGAATACCTGGGGCAGAGGAGTAGCTGAGGTCACTCAGAATAGAACACTCAAAAGCAAACTTCACCTGCCCCCACTAGAGGTGTCAGCAACACCTTATGGGAAAATAATGTTTGCAGCTGATGGGTTTACTTGGGAGCATTTGCCACTGAAAGAGGAAGAGTTCTGGCAGCCAGGCAAGGTGCTTGGCAATGGAGTATGGGCTTTGGTAGGATTCTGCACACTGAAAAGTGATTGGGCTCTGGGAGTCTTATGGGGGGATATATGTGAGGGGCTTGTCACTGAGGTGAGGGCTTCTCAGAGAATTGCAGGAGAGGTGTCATTGAGGATGCACCTTCCAGTTTCTTCTCCTTTTCTCTCTGCCAAACACCACCTTTGACTGCAATGGGAGTTTTGCTTTAGTAATATTGCAGGATCAAGCCCTACATAGTCATAACCAATATATTTTAATCCTGAGATATGCTATATCACCTGTAAAATTTTAATAAATATGTACTTTATAGGGTATATCAGATAAATCATATGCTGCATGGTAGGACTACATCAGTTCATAAACCAGTCTTTGCCACAGTATCTCAATAAAGCATTAAAAAGTAGGATGTCAATCCATGGAGTTCTAATCTTAAGCTAAATACAACTGGTAAACTACATTTTAAAATTTTATTTCACAAATATCCACATTTTTAAATATTGGTAACTTAGCAATAATACTTATATTTTTATACCAGAAATGGCCTACACCATAGTGACAAATATTGGCCCCCACAATTGCAATTGGAGTGAAACCTCCCCCAACCCTTTTTTAGTGAAAGTGCACAAAACAGAACAAAATACTATTTACTTCTTCTGCAAATAAAAAGTAAATGATTTTATAAAAACGTTGTAAAAATGCCTACAGCCAGAAGATTTGTAATTTGAGTTTCTGTTATTGCGGATATTATTTTTTGTATATAGCTACATAAAACTGATTGGTGCTTTATAGGCAAATAAAAACTGAAGTCCCTGCCCTGAAGATCTTACAATCTAGGTAAGGATCATCTCTTTTCAGCCTGACTTGTGTAATTGGAGAGGTATTTATGTACCTGGGCAATTGTTGTCACTTATTTACCTGACAGATGGTAAAAGCCCTTTTGAACCAGGTGTTAATACAAATAATGAAGTTAGTGCAGATTTTGTCTGAGTAAGAAATTAAAGAGTGGACCATACTATGGATTGCTTCTGTGTGCCATGTCAGAGATCCTCCTATCTGTGCTTCCATTTATGTGCTGAGGATTGAGGGGAGATTCTGAGCACACTATGAACTCAATCCTGTAGTTTTCACTCAGGCAAAATTCTCACGATGGGAGGCAAACTCCCATTGGTGCAAAGAGCTTTACTTAGAAGCAATTTTGAGGGAAGACGGAGGAGAGAAGAGTCTTTCAGCGCGCCCTTTTTCTTATTTTTTTTTTAATCAAACCATTTCATTAGGCCAGAGCAAACCGGGGAGAGAAATTCCCCTGCATCCTCACTGTGTATGAAACAGTCTCGTTCTAATATGTGGTCGAGCACGGATCATCGAATGTAACGTAATAAAGAAATGATGTATAAAATACAAATGGACAGACTTCAGCCTCTCTTACTGACAAGAGTCCCCACTTCACTCATGAGCCTGCCAGAACCGCTCAATTTCGCTCTTGATCAGCCCTGACCTGCTATAGTCTACCTCACCTATAGATGTAGAGGTACTTGAGGGGATTGAAAAGAGTAGGTGAATTCTGGTACCATAAATACTGCAATATGCAGATAGTGATTTACTAAGATAATTAAGAGATCTTGAATTTCTGGGCTACTATGGGTTTAACTCAGATTATTCACGGATTTTAGTGAAGTCTTTTGTATATTACCAGTTAGTTTATAGCATGTTTTCTGCAACCCATAATTTATTAAAGGGCAAAAACTACAGAGAATAAAGGATACATATACATGTAATGATACAAATAGTATCTGTAAGCATTTCCTGTGGGTATTTGATCGTGAATTTCAATACTTTAGTCCCTTCTTTTTTCCTGATTAGTTTCCCTGCATTTGTGGTAACTTGAATCTTTGGTCTTAGGTCATGAACTGATTAGTATATCTTTTATTAATTTA